GCAAAATCTCAGAAGGACAGGGAATGGCTTCTGGCCATTCCCGCAGATAGTTTTAGCTGCAGGAAAGTCCCCTTCCCTTCATGTCTGCCACGGGCACATTGGTGGAGTGGATCAGAGTGGAATATTAGAGCCTGTGTTTCTCCCTCATATAATGAGTGCCCCTGCACCCAGCTTAGAATGAACATTTGGAGGGGTGAGGGAGAACTGGGCTAACCAAACCACAGGGGCAGGGAGAGGAACTCACAGGGAAGGTATTAAGGAAATGGTGGTTTGGGCCCAGCTGCCTCCTAACACCTAGGGTTGCAAAAGGCCCTTTCCATGGGATGCTCTTGTTCACTAATGCTGGCACTTAGCAAGGCTTCACACATGGTTTTGTGTGTAGACACTAGGAAATGAGTAAAGGGAGCTGTTGCCCTGGTTGGGGGAAGGACAGTGACACCCCCGGCTAATGAGGAGGTTAGAAACAGCAGTTTCCAAAGGCCATGAGTCACCCTCTGCTCTGAGTCACATGTGAGGCTTAGGCTGGCCTGGAGACTAGAGGGTGGCTAGGGAAGCCTAGGGTCCCTAATTCAGAGAGGACTCCAGACACCCACACCCTGACTCAGCCTGGCTAGCCAGGACAGCTGGCTAAAAGCTCAGGCCTGTTCCCAGGCCTGGGTCACTGTCCCAGCTGCACTCGAGCCTGGGCACCATGCCTGAGGTGTGGCGTAGGAGACCGTGACGCCCAGGTGACCTCACCCAGTACACTGACCTTCTCCAGCTCTTGTCTGTGGGTCTGACAGTCCATGGTGCCACCTCATCCAGCAGGACCTCTCAGGGGTCCTCAGTCTGCTCCAAAGACCTGGGCCTCAGTCTAGCCCAAGTAGCAGGCCCTAACCTTCAGCCTCCTGCTGGCAAAACCCTGTTGCTGAGGAGGGAATTACAGAATTCTAGAATGCCAGAGCTGGAAGAGATCATCTAGTCTAAACCTTTCATTTCACAGATGGGGAGACAGAGGCCCACAGAATGACCTGCTGAAGGTCACACAGTGAGTCATTTAGGAATTGCAGGATCACCAGGAGTAGGGCTGGAGCAGAAGAGAACAGTGGCATCAAGAATTGGCCTTGGGTTTCTTTCAGAAACAAGGAGACCAGCGCTGGTCCAGTGGCTGTGATGGGAAAAGATTATTACAAGATTCTTGGGATCCCATCGGGGGCCAATGAGGATGAGATCAAGAAAGCCTATCGGAAGATGGCCTTGAAGTACCATCCAGACAAGAACAAAGAACCCAATGCAGAGGAGAAGTTTAAGGAGATTGCAGAGGCCTATGATGTGCTGAGTGACCCTAAGAAACGGGGCCTATATGACCAGTACGGGGAGGAAGGTAAGAGGGCAGCACTCCAGCCCAGCCCTGGGGCCCCTGCACTGGCCCAGGGTCTTAGGTCAGCCAGGTCTTGTAGCAGGAAACTGGAGGTTGAAGAGGGAGTGTGGGAGGGAGGTGTTGCTAGCACTGATACCCAGAAGAGAGAGGAGGACCTGCCTCCCATTATCCAGCCTCAGCTTACCATAGTTCTCCCCGCCTCTCTCTCCTCAAGTTCAGACCTTAGAGAGGTCTAAAATGAGAGCCAGAAGCCTTCCCCCTCCCTTCTTCCCTTCACAGCCTTATTAGTCCTGCCTGAAGTCTCTGCTGCTTCATTGGCTGGTGAGGAAGGTTGGGGAGAAGGAGTGCATGGATCTCTGAGGACAGAGCATTTACATTCATCAGCATAAAATCTGGCCCTTAAGCAGCCTGGAAATTAAGCACCAGGTCTCTGAGCAGAAATGGGTGTCCCCTTCCCTCCCTCTCACTGCCCACTTGAGGCTTTGCCTCCCAGAGGAAGTGGCAGGAATCCAAGGGTGGAAGGGGAATTGCTGCTGGCATCCTACCCCTCCCTGAGGGAGCTGGTGGCCACGCACAGGGCGGGTGGCAGGAAAGGCCCAAATAAAGCCTCTGAGAGGGTGGCCCCTCCCAACACATCCCACGGGCATGATGTAGCTGCTAATTCTGGGCCTGCCCCTCAGGGCTGCCTGCCACCCGCCAGCCACAAGCACCTGTCGGGCTATATTAAGAGATACTGTCACAGCTGCAGACTCCTTCCTGGGAGGAACCATCCTTCCTCCCCAGTAGCATCCACCTTTCTTTCATTTTCCTCTTCTTGTCACCCTCTGCACCTATCCTCAAAAGGAAATGGGTCAGTTCATGCTGAGCCTGATACAAAGCAGGAGCTCCAAAGATTTCCTTTTCTTCCCTCCTCCCTGCTTTGCGTTCCAAGCCCCTCTACCCCTGTCCTCTGTGCTCCTCGGCCCTCTCAACCCTATCTTCTTATTCTCCATATTGCTAGTTCCTTCTATTTTTCCTGCTCACGTCCTAGACTTGCCAGATTCACCAGGCACCTGCTAATCCCCAGTATTCTCCCAGCTAAGAAATGTTTCTCTCTGGATAGAGAAATGAGAAGGGTAGGGATGAGGGTGAGGAGGAAAGCTGTGCAGACACCTGCCACCCTGTGACCTAGTGTGGAATTGCACCCACTTGGCCTCACCCTTGTTTAGGAAGGTGGGAACTGGGAGAGCTACACCTAACAGTCACTCCTCTGGCATGATCAAGCCTAAGGGCAACACTCAGTCCCTAAGCCCAGACACTGGGTTCTGATGCAGATCCCTATCCCAGGAGGGCCCCTGAGACTACAGCTTGGCCTTTGGGGGATCTCCAGGGCCTGAGGAGGGAGAAGCAGCTTTGGAAATACTGATTATATTTTTGTCCACCCTGCCCCCTCCACCAACAGCCAGCCAGAGCAGTTGTGCACACAGACTCTGTGTGTAGCTCTGGCTGGGGACAAGTTGTTCCCAAATTGAAAAGGGGTTGGTAGTGGTAGAGCAGGAACCCCTACAGAGAGAATTACCCCCTCCTGTCATTCTGAGTCCAACCTCCCTCCCTCTCTCACTGAACTCTGCCAAGCTTTTTGAATTTACTTGATAATCAGCCCTTTAATAGGAGGAGAAAACAGACCCTAAGTCTTGGGGGAAGGGTGAGGAAGCAGCTGCCACAAGTCCCGGAACTGCCTGCCACTTGGCCTTTCTAATGAAACCCAAATCTGTCCTTGTGGTTCCAGGAAATAAGAGACTAATTTAGGCTCAGGAGTCCATGGCCAATTGAAATTCTAGAAAAAGGTCTCAAAGAGAAGGATCTCTTCCCCTAGCCTGGGCCCACCTTTGAGTGTCCATACTCTGGATCAATTCTCAGTGTCAACACCCTCCCACTATCCCCCTCACCACCACCACCACTACCACCCCATAAAGGCTGCCTCCAGGAATCTGAGCTACTTAGGACCTGACTCCAGAGATAGCAGGTGGACTCACTACCTGCATTTCACCAGCCCATTTATGCATTTTGGTTGCTCAGTATTAAGTGTGGTGTGTAACTCAAGGGAGCTCCATTCCCCTTGTAGTCTATGTTTGCACAATGTGTGAATGACACTCCCTAGAACTGGGCAACACTGTGAGCAGAGTTGGGAACAAACCATTGGAAAACTTTTCTTAGGAAAATAGCCCCTCATCTCCAAATTAATGAGTGTTTCCTGCTTTCTTGGAGCCCTCCTGATTTTCCATGTGGGCAATAGTCAGGAAAAGAGAAAACACTGCTAGTTTATTAGATAATGTGAGAAGCAGAATTGAAGTGGGCTACCTTTCGGACTATATTCCCACCTTGTTCGGGATAGGTCACTTACCAGCCCTCTGTGTGGTCAAATCCTGCCTAATGGCCTCTTGCCTTGTGTGCCTTTGAAGATAAGCAAAAATTTCAGAGCCAGGTATGACTTGTAATGTGACACCAGGCCAGCCACTCAAATCTTTGTGAGACATTTTTGGGCTGTGAGTATATGGAAAAGATTACAGGACTGGAAGCCATATCCTCTAAGTCCTCTAATCCTGGCTCTTCCAACTATTGGCTAACCCAGCCTCTTTGAACCTCAAGAAATACATTATTATTAAATAGATTATGAAGAGTAGAAATTAATCTTGCCAGTGTGTTGGTTTTTCTTTTTCTGCTGGTATTTCTGCAGGAGTTAAAAGTTTGCTTCTTGGGAACCAGCAGTTAGCGTAATGGCTATGTTGCTGGACTCCCACGTAGTCGACCGCGGTTCGCATCCCAGACCCAGTGGCTTAAAACTCACACCGGGCACGTGTGCGTGCATGCCCAAGATCCCGAGAGGAGAATGGAGGAGAAGGGATTGCGGCGTGACCATCTCCCCTGGGGGGTGATTTCTCGCTTTCTGTCTCTATGTCTCTGTCTGTCTGGCGAGCGCACACGCCCTATAGCGAAAACCTCAAAAAAAAAAAAGAAAAGGTTTGCTTCTTTCTCCAGGCCTCATTGAATGGAAGCTGGGGGTGAGGACGGGAAAAGGGGATGGGATGGGGTCAGGACCAGCAGCACCGTCCCTAACTTCTCCTCCCCTCTAGGCCTGAAGACCGGCGGTGGGACATCAGGTGGCTCCACTGGCTCCTTTCACTACACCTTTCATGGGGACCCCCATGCCACCTTTGCTTCCTTCTTTGGTGGCTCCAATCCCTTCGATATCTTCTTTGCCAGCAGCCGCTCCACTCGGCCCTTCAGTGGCTTTGACCCAGATGACATGGATGTGGATGAAGATGAGGATCCATTTGGCGCCTTTGGCCGCTTTGGCTTCAATGGGCTGAGCAGGGGTCCAAGGCGAGCCCCAGAACCACTATATCCTCGGCGCAAAGTACAGGACCCCCCTGTGGTGCATGAGCTGCGGGTGTCCCTGGAGGAGATCTACCATGGCTCCACCAAGCGCATGAAGATCACAAGGCGGCGCCTCAACCCTGATGGGAGAACTGTGCGTACTGAGGACAAGATCCTGCACATTGTCATCAAGCGCGGCTGGAAGGAGGGCACCAAGATCACCTTCCCCAAAGAGGGCGATGCCACGCCTGACAACATCCCTGCTGATATCGTCTTTGTGCTCAAAGACAAGCCCCATGCACACTTCCGCCGAGACGGCACCAACGTGCTCTACAGTGCCCTGATCAGCCTCAAGGAGGTGGGAGTTTGTGTGTGTGTGTGTGTGTTTCGAGGAGCATGGGAGACGTTCCCTTCCTTGCCACTATTCTTTCCCCACTTCAGTCTTTTCCCTCTCCTTCCACTCACTCTATCTCCTCACTCTCTGCCTCGTTTTCCCCAGGCGCTGTGTGGCTGCACCGTGAACATTCCCACCATTGATGGCCGAGTGATCCCTTTGCCCTGCAACGATGTCATCAAGCCGGGCACTGTGAAGAGACTTCGTGGGGAGGGCCTTCCCTTCCCCAAGGTGCCCACTCAGCGGGGAGACCTCATTGTCGAGTTCAAAGTTCGCTTCCCAGACAGATTAACACCACAGACACGACAGATCCTTAAGCAGCACCTACCCTGTTCCTAGGCTCTGCCCCAACTTGTCCAGAGTCTACCACAGCAATACCCCCCCACACTCACCCACCCAACGTGCACCCAGCTTGATGTCCACTGGACACTGGCAACTTTTTCTAAAATGCAAAAAAAGCCACTGGTTTTCAGGAAAATGTTCCTGTCCCTGACCTTTTCAGAGCTGGGCTGCCTTGGGGAGTGGGAGGGATGTGGGGAGAGCTAGCCCAGGCCAGGGGTCAATTTTCCTGTGTCACTAGCTTTGAATCCAGTTTCCACTCCAGTGGCTGGAGAGTGACCTGAGTGCTACTTGAAGATATAGAGATTCCTTGTCCACGCCTGTAAATAGCATGTCCTCCTTCCCCTCTCAGCTTTGCTAATACCTTTCCTCTCCCTTCCCTTTGCTTTCCCACCCCCACCCCAGGTCCACAGTGTCCAGGGTTCTTGCACACATATTCACGCACACCAAGCACTCACCTAGAGCTGTCTGTGCCTCTCCTGGAGAAAGGAGAGAAAAGGAGATAGGAAGGGAAGGTCCACAACCCGTGAACAGGGCCACTGAGCACGAGACACTTTTCATTTGGGGTAGGAGCTGAACCTCATGGCTTCCCTGACAGCTGCCCTGCCTACCCTACTACTCTCAGGAGTATTCAAGGGTGGAGGGAGGGGAAGGGGGACCTGAGGCAGTAAGGCTAAGAGGTGGGGCAGGGCCCTTCTCCCAGCCTTCATCAGGAAGAGAAAGGCTTTGGGGTCAGGTGGCAGCTATTCTCCACCAAGAGATTCAGGGTCACAGGTTTCTCCCCACATCTCTGAACTCAGGGCCTAGCCACTCCCCAACTTCCAAATCCCACTTTTGTGACATGTGAAGCTACTTATTTCTTACCCTTCTTAGCGGCTTCCTGGGGAATTTCTAGCCCTTTTATGCCTGTATGAACCCACCCCACTCCCACAGTTGTATAAAGGTGTAATAGTGAAGGAGCTGGGGGAAGACTGCTTCGGCCAGGTCCTGGGGTGGGGTCTTTAGATTTTCTCACTTTGACAAGCCCCCGAATGTTTTTATAGTAGTTTTTTTGTATTTTTTTGTAATGACAGTATTATGAAAAAATAAAATATTTTAAAAATAATGGCATCTAAGCAGGGGCAATGAACCTAGTATGGGGGCGGGTGTGCAATGCCTCTGTCAGCCTCCCTCCAGGGCCCTGGTCACCTTGAGAAGCCTGAGCAGCTCTCAATCTAAGCCGAAGCTGACCCCTTCATTCTTCTGAGCCCAGACTCCTGGGATTTCCAAAACACGCACCCCAAACACAGCAAACACAGAATATGCCACTCAGCTATTAGAAGAAACAGATCTATTGGGGAAGGAAAACTTTCATAATAAGAAATATACCATTCTCTTCAGATGTGCTAGCATGAGAATTAATAGATTTTCTCTTGTCTAAGTTTTCTCTTTGAGTGAGAGAAACGTCCTTCTCAGGAGGGGATGAAGGAGGAATTTCTGACAGACTGGAAGAGACACATCCCCAAAGACAGAGATTGAGCAGTGGGGAGGGTGACCAGAGGAACCTGGCATCCTTGGCCTTGGGGAAACACAGGCCTCTGGGAGACATTAGACATGGTTGCTGATTCTTGAATCTCAGTTTTTTGGGGATGTCTATCCTGGTTTCTGACCACCTGTTTCCGCTACAATAATTCTGTCCTCAGGGCCTGAGTGTCAGTTGCATGATGGGGCCTTTGTCCCTCTCCTTGAATCAGGGTAGGAAGAAGTCCTATAGTTGCAGGGATACCTGTGTGTGGGCTCTGCCCAGAGCTGACCTTCCTTGTGGGCTAACTTTCCCCCAAGCATAAAGTCCACATCTTCTCCAGGATCAGACCATGACAGTCATGCCCTCCTGAGCTCAGTGTGCCCATTGCCATGAAGTCAGCACTAGCTTCAGGTGGGCCATGGCTCTACCTGGAGGCCAACACGGACTAGGTTTTCACAGCAACCTTCCCGTCTAGGGACAAAAACACCTAAAAGAAGTTCCACGTCCTTTTACCTCACGTACTTTTTGCAAAAGCTTGTTCCTTCTAGTGCAGAAACTGGGGGTCTTGCTCATAAGTATGTATGCTAATCCTCTGGCCTGCATAAGGAGATCCTCAATCATGCATGGCCTACTCCATGATGTTCCACTTTGAGTGCTTTGGGTAAATTCTTGTCCTGACACATGGGGCTGGGAAATTGTCACATCCTGACTAATGCACTCCATATGGAGCTATCAGACCCTAGAACCCAGGCATTCTGAGGCAAGGAGCACATCAATGGGAAAGACCTGAGGCTCTTTGGGTAGTTCCTCTTTTCACTTGGGACTAAATTCTTGTCCTGACACATGGGATTGGGAAATTGTCACATCCTGACTAATGCACTCCATATGGAGCTATCAGACCCTAGAACCCAGGCATTCTGAGGCAAGGAGCACATCAATGGGAAAGACCTGAGGCTGGCTGTGCAACCCTCCCGCACTATGAACCTTATCCTTCTTCGAGGCTGTTTGGGGAATTTCTGGTCTTTTAATGCGTAGGTAACCATAACTGCCCACCCCTTGTAACACACACACACACACACACACACACACACACCACATAGCACTGTGTAAAAGTCAAGATAGTAAAACAGCTGGGGGAAAATATTGGTTTAGCCTGATCTGGGAGGTAGAGGAGTTTTAACTGGGGTTTTTCACTTTAACAAGCCCCTGAATGTGTGTGTGTGTGTGTGTGTGTGTGTGTGTGTGTAATTTTGTAATAGCCATACCATGATACTCATTTGCTCATTTTGTATGACAGCACTTTAAGGTTGCCCATTCCAGACCTTGGGTAAGCAGCACTCTTGATGGGGAAGGAGGGCATTCATTCCTTGATCACTAGAGCCCTTTGTCCACTTAGAGAGCCATTTAACTTCCAGGCATGTCCCAGCTCCCAGTTCTCAGAACATTTTCCAGTCATGGCTTAGGAGCTGAAATCTCCTCAGACTTTACTATCCCTGACCTCTTTGGCACCTGAAGGAACCACTAAGGCTCCAACATCCTTATCCTAAAATAGAAACTCTGAGATGTCCCTCCCTCCTACCATGGTGAGCCCTCCAGGCCTCCTCCTCTCTGTCTTCTAACTCTGGGTGTTGCTCCTCAGGGATGAAATCTGTTGGGCACAACTCCACTCTCATCTCAGGCCATGTCCTGCCATTGTTGGACTTGGAATGACTGGACTATCTCTCTTGTCACCCATACTGATACAACTTGTCCATGATAATGCTGTGAGGAGCTAAAAAGTTGGTCTGCTCTCAGACTGAGGGTGCCCTGTGAACCCATGATCAATATCTCAGGGCCCTCTGTGTTTCCTTGCTCACAACTGAGAGAGCATGGAAAGGACTATCTGAGATGGGCAAAATTTTTGTGATCAGCTTGTCTCCCAAACTGCATAAGCAACCTTGGCTTAGCATCTGTGAAACACAGGTGGATAAGAGAAATATGAAGTAGGAAAGGGGCCATGATTGGGCCTTCATTACCTTAGCAGTTTTATAAAGTTGAGGACCTTAAGAGGTATGTGCTCCCTCTGCCACATCAAAACTATACCATCTAGTCTTCCTGTGCCTGTATAGTGTCCGAATCAAGGAAGGAAAGCTAGGCTGGCCCCATGGTTTAGTGGTTAAGGGAGCCAGATTCCACATTGTGAACCAGAATTAGAATCCTGGCCCAACAGCTTGAAAGACACGCCAGGTACTTAAGCATGCACAGCCACAGTTACAACATGATGGAGAGATGGAGAAGGAGTTTGCAGTGTGATCATACTTTCTCCCTCCCCACACCCCCACTTCTGGTAAGCACATGCGCCCTTTGGCAATGATGTGGGGTGGGAAGTTGGGGGGTGGGGAAGAGGGCAGAGGAAAACTTTCCAAGAGGCATTTAAGCAGTGTTCTGAATTCACCAAAGGTGCCAAATTTCCATTTCCTAAGTGGCTGTAGGTCTTCCAAGGAGGGGGTAATGTATAGCTGTCAGTGAGCCATTCACATCTATATGGCTCCTACTCAAATAGATATGCTCAGCTGCTTGCCCAAACAAACCTTCAGGATATTTTTCAGGGCTTTCTGGTCTAGGTTATTTCTTGAATGTGTCTGAAGTTATTTTTTGTGTCCTCTGAAGAATTATCCCTCCAAAATGGGTAGTTGTGTGAATCCTTTATAGGTTATCTTTGGAGACCTTTCTTAGATTGGGCTACAGACCCTTCCCTTGGTCATTCCCTACCTGGAACTTCGTCAGGCCCTTCACAGGGAAGCCTTATGGGTACCAAATCAAATCTTCCTTAGATCTTTGCTGCTTTGGCCCATAAACACCTAGAGGGCTAAGAGAATCTATGATTGTTCCTTAGCTGAAATGTGTCTGTTGGTTACCTTATGGGTGCATCAGTGCAAGAGACTCTTGGATCCTGTAGGCCAAGAGCCAAAAGTGTCACCTGCAGATATTCAAAGGAGGTGCTTTAGTTAGCTCTGAATATTATTACCTATAGGAAATTCTCTAAGAAAAATGTGTGTTGTTGGAACCCCCCCTTTTTTTAAACCAATTAACCATATATGCGAGAGTGTATTTCTGGACTCTATTCCATTTGGTCTATATGTCTGTCCTTATTCCAGTACTATGGTCGGCCATGTGGGAGTCCAGCATCTTAACCACTACACCATCTGCTGGCCCCATGCTGATATTGTACACTTTAAAAGGGTGAATTCAGTGGTATAGAAATTACATCTCAATTTTTAAAAATAATCAAATAAAAGGGAACCATGTGTAAAATATTGATCTCCTGAGAGACAATGGGCCAGGTGATATGATCCAGACACAAGTGAAGTCTATCTGGTAAACAGGCTCTGAGGGTCTCTGAAGGAAGAGGAGCAAAACAAGTGTTAGGGGTAGACATCAGTTGAATAAGAAAATGGGACTCTGACTAAAAGGCACTGGTGAGGGAAATTAAATAACTGGTCAGAAAGAAAAGCCCAGTCTTCAGGGAATAATTTAGGGGAGAAAGGGTTTTAATATAGCAGAGACCTTGGTAGCAAAGATGAAAAAAAGTCAGGGGTGGGATCAAAGAAGATTAAATGAAGAAAGAGGAAGACTTAAAAGTAAGAGCTCTGAAGGTGGAGGAGATAAAGCTGTAGGTGGCCAAAGGCAGTGGCTTCTAGTGACAGAGAGGTCAGTAATGGGAGTGAAAAGAGTGGTGTGGGTGGAATCCCACTAGGAATCTTGAGGACAACTATAGGGAAGGAGATGATAAAGAAGGCTATGGCAGGGCCGGCAGGTGGCGTGGTGGTTAAGGCACTGGACTTCCACATGGCTGACCATGATTCAAGTCCTGGACCTGGCTGCTTGCTTTCTCTCTCACTGGTCAAACTGAAGAAGAAGGAAAAGAAATATAATTTAAAAGGAAAAAAAAAAGATTTATGGCATGGGAAGATAGTCTCTGTAGAGTCAAGTCAGTTAACAGGAGTCACACAAAAAGGTTATCTGTTGGTTTTTCTTTTTCTTTCTTAATTTTATTTGTCAGAGGGCACATGTGCTTGCTGGACAGAGAGAGAGAAAGTGAGAAAGCACCTCTGGGAGAGAGTGGGGGAGTGAGGATAGTTACACTATGACCCCTTCTCCTTCATTTCTCTCTCTTTTTTGGGTTTTGGCCACATATACACACATACCTGGTCTGTTTTTCAAGTTGCTGAATCCAGGCCTCAAAGTGTGAGGCCATGTGGGATTCATCTTTCTTAACCACCATGCCACCAGCTGGCCCATTATCAATCAGTTTTCTAGAAAATCCAATGAGAGAGTAGAGGCCAGAGAGAGACAGAAAGAGGAACTATTGAAGCCAAAAGGGATTCAGAGGGAGCAGTGTCTTCCCCATTCTCTTCAAACAACAAGACGTCACCTTCTACATTTGTTCTATCTTGACCCTCCCAGCAGGCATCTTGCTACAAGCTGACTGCATCAAGAAGTTTGCCCAGACGGCTGCAAAAGACAGGAGGCTGCAGCCAGGAGAATGAACACAGGAGGCCAAGGAGGCCTGGCAAGAGTCATATTTTCCCACATTGTGATTTCATGATACTTCTTTTATTCCTCAAGCCAGGGCTTTCTTTAACATTCCATTCCCTAAGGGTTTCCCTTCCTATGTCAACTCCAGCTGAGGTGCACAGGAAAGGAGAAGAGATTAATCAATACCTGCTTTTCCAAAGGGCAGGCAGGTCTGGTGTCATGTGAACTCCTTTCTGACAAGCTCTCCAACAGGGAAAACATGAGATTCAATTGCATGTGGTAAAGGTACAGGCAAAAGGATCAAAGAGAAATCTAAGTAAAATAGCCCTTTTGGGAAGGCTTTTGAGAAACTAGCCTGAGCAACCCAAACAAGGTCAAATAGTCAATGACAACAATCTACAGGTTCAACTAGGTAATAATGTTTTATACTTAAAAATGCTTTCTTACAGATTATTTCATATGATCTTCATAACCATGTTGTGAGGGATA